ATTACTTATTTATTACTTTATATATGTGAGTGTTTAGCCTGCATATGTCTGAGCACCCTCTGTGTGTCTGATGCCCCTCAAAGTTCAAAAGAGGTCATTAGATCTTCAGGGAATGAAGTTACAGGTGGTCATGAGCCGTCATGTCACTGCTGGAATTTTACCCGGGTCCTCTGCAAGAACAGAGTTCTCGTAACAGCTGATCCAACTCTCCAGCCCCCACCTTTTGAGACAACACAAACACAGGCAATTTTTGAAATGAATTTGCATAGATTTCTTAGAATTATACTACTAAGGTGACTGTAGGTCTAGGTCAGATTTACAGTATGTGCTTAGCATGCAGACTTCAAAGTCCTTGGTTCTAGCCCCAGTAGGAGAAAAAAAAATCTTTAATTAAACATTTTAAAAAAAAATAAAATATTGATGATCTTTTTAATAAGTTTACCCTAGTACCATATCTTAAAATCTGGCCAGATTCTAAGCATAAGTGTAGAATACACTTAAATAATGGATTAAAAAGGTGGGTTAGCAACAGTCAGAAATAGTTCTTAAAATTGTGACTTTTCAGCCATAACCATTGCGGCACTAAGAGCATGCCTTGCCAGGCTTGAATGTTCCAGGTATTACTCTGTTACCATGGTGACAGCTTTTGAACCAATCAATTTAGCATAGACATGCACTTAGCAACAAGATAATTAAACATAAAAAAAGCTAGGCAGTGTGAAGTAAAATGCAGAAGTAAATAACAAAACACTCAAAGCCCTTCTCTTATTGTTCATATTTAAAAGCACATAGGGGCTGGAGATAAAGCTCAGAGGTAGAGAGCTTACCTAATATGTTGGAGGCCCTGGGTTCTATGCACAGCACAGAAAAAAAAAAAATCTGCCTTACAGATGCGAACTTAGCTGTTGGTCAGTTGGCTGGTAACCTTGGCTGCACACCTTTGCATTGCAGGAGATGCATTTTCCCTCTCTCATTTCCGGGTATGGCCCAGGCTCTGGCAACAGAGGTTAAGAGAAAAGCAGGCAGAAGCACATCACCACATGGTCATGTGGTACCCAGAGGTGCTAGGAGAGCGACTAGAGAAGTTAGAAACTTGAGTCTTTACATCCTAGAACAGTGCTCTGCCATTTGACAAAGGCTGGGGTTCTAGGGCAGAAGACTTGGGCATGTGCACACATGAGAGCTAATGGCTGAAGAGGCTGGCGAGTAGTAGCTTGATTCCTCACTTCCTCCCAGACTGTATAGGGTCTGGGAGGTTACAGGCTTTCAGTTGCCTGGTGGACAAAGAGGTAGACACCTTTGTAAATACACATCCTGCTGGTAGGCAGAAGGCGGAGCACCATACCTGCTTCTACTAAATTGCCTTAAGCTCAGAATAGTCCTCTTGCCGAAGTGGGGCGGGGGTGGGGGGCATAAGGTAGTTATCTCTGAGCAGGTAACTCAAAGTGATGAGAAAGCTCTCTCTGGCCTTTTTCTGCTGCTTTTCCTCCCCCTGGTGGTTATGGGTGTGAACTCCTCTTGGGAAAGTCCACCTGTCTTTCATCCTACATTTCCTTTATTCAGCTTTTGTTTTCTCTATTTTATTATTAGTTTATTCTATTTTACTCAATCAAATTACTACTGTGGCTTAAAGGTCCTCCAATAAATTCGTGTGTTATCAACTGAAGACCCAAACTGCTCCAGAAGGTGGCTAGAATAAGATGAGAGACGACAGGGTGGGTCCCAGTGATGGCATCAGAGGCTTTATGAGAAAAGGGCCCAAGCCTGCTAGTTGTCAGCGACACTTGTGACATCGGTCTTCCCAGCCTTCAGAATCAGGAGCAAAATAAACCTCGTTCTTTATAAATTACTCAGTACAGCCACAGAAGACAAACTCAGATAACTACATCCTATAATGTTAGAAGAAACTAAGATGTCAGGGCAAGACCAGAGATCTAGAAAGGCTCGTGACTAATCTTGGCTGAACACAATGGACAAAGCACTTATCTTTTCTAGGTTTTAGGCCTTCTCTAGGTCATGAAGCTATTAAGAAAATAAAAGCAATTTGCTCTCAGGATCAAATAAATCTTCAGAGAAAAGGAAAGTGGGCTGCCATGCCCAAACAATGAATAATTTTAAATAGTTTATCTGTTTCAAACATTGAAGGCTACTTATCTATGACACAACACACATCCATATGCGCACACACATATATATCTTGGACTCTGTTCCTTTTTGCAAATGAGAAACTGAGGCACAGAGGGGCTAATTAACTTGCTGTAGTCAATACAGACAGTGTACTGAAACCCATACAATGTGGCCCCAATGTCCATGCTAAACTGTAGCCTCTATACACACTTAGTGTCAAATATTTTTGAAAATAACAAGCTAAGCAATTTCAGTACACAGTGATGAGTGTTCTAGCAGAAGAGTGAATTCACCTTCCCCCAGCAAGCAACATCACACACACAATCTGTAAACATTTAAGGAGCCTCATGGGCCACAGAGAACATCCCATTACTTACCTTCCTAATCCTCCAGAACAACTCTGGTGTCCAGACCAAAAGACAAGACAAGCTCCAAAACTTCAGACATGCTTTTAATAGTAAAGAAACAACATATTCTAGTCCAAGAGAACCCAAATGCAAGCTGAGAAGGCATTTTCTCTCCTTGGCCTTGTTTGCTTCTGTAGGAACCTAATTCTCTATGACTTTTCCAATATGATGAATTGGTTTTCGAAACATATATTCCAGGTTGGCCTTAGATCTGTATGTAACCAAGGAAAAGCTCGGACTCCTGGTTTTCCTAACGTCCGTCAGACGACAGGCATGCACCCCAAAGCCCAGCCTTACTCTGGCTGCTTTTATGTTAACTTGGCTAAGCTACGGGCATCCAGTCTGTGAGGCAGTTTACATTTTGGTAACCTAAGTAAATGGGGTGGGACTTGCTTACTTAAGTTTTTATTTTCTTACATTTGGGGAAAGGTTTATTTCTATTTTATCTGTATGAGCATTTTGCCTACATTTATGTACGTGTGCCACATGCTTGTGTGCTTCAGGCTTGGACACACTTTCCCTGAGCGTTGCACCTCTTGGCTGGGGGACAGTTTTCCTAGGTCTGTAGCTTCCACCTCACCCTGCAGACCAGAGCACTTATCAGCCTCCATGACCCTGTGGACAGATATAATAAAGTCCAATGTGTGTAGGTAGGCGTTCGTTTATGCATTCATGAGCATTTCCCCTATACAGAGTAATCTGCCCTTGGGTCCTGACTCTGTAGCCTGTCTGGTTCCTTCTGTCTAGAGTGCCCTTTCTTCCTTACACACCAGCAAACCTCCCAGTACAACAGCTGTCCAGCACCACCTCCCTGGGGAAGCCATCTGGCTTTGGCAGGTCAGGCTGCCATTACAAAATACCACAGACCAGGTGTCTTCAACAACTGAAGAAACCAACCCCAGTCTGATTTGTCAGTGTCCTCAGTGCCTGGTAAGAGTGCCTTTTGTGGATTATGGTGCTGGGAGAGTTCAGGACGCTGGCCCACTGATTATGACCTCACTTAGCTTTACTAGTCTGTGGCGGTGTTGTCTTCAAATGCAATCTCACTGAAGGTTACAGTTTCAGAGTCTTAGCATTCCCAGTCTCCTTCCTGGTCCTCTAGATGCACTTTCTCCTGTCCTTCCACAAGGGTTCACTCCAAGGCTGTAAGACTGCTGTAAGCATTGTTGTTGGAGTTCTTGGGCCGATGGCTGTCTGGCTGTGAGAAACAGTTTTGACCATCCCCAAGTCATTTAATTTAGTGTCTAGAACTCAGTAAATACTCAATTTAAAAGTATTGATTAAATGCATTTCAAACCTTTCTGAATATTCAAATCTAGGTATCAGCTGATGCCTCAAGCCCTGAATTCTCAAAGTAACGGGTCCTAATCTGGACTGTACCAGCTCTTCCCTGAGGCCTGCTTCCTTCTGCAACCACACCAATGCTGCTTTCACTACCCATGGGTCAAGCTCAGCACAGACGGATTCTTCCTTGCCTGGTACACCCTCCCCTCCATCTTTCCCTAGCTTCAAGTTTGCACACTCCAAGTTTGTCCAGATCTGTTAACCCCATTTTCTTTCATGTGCCCAAATTGTTATCAGATGGCATGGAAGAACTCTTTGCCCCCTCTTACCCATGTCCTTTGTTTTAGGTGTGACTCTTCAAACCTCTAACTGTTCTCCTTAAGGGCAGTCTTAAAAACTAACCTCTCAATGATTCCTTTCTCAGAATAGGTAGGGAAAATAAACAAAAACCACTCCCACAAACTGAAAAGCAGCACAGGAGGCGTTTAATTTTATTCTTATGTGAATCTGCATTCATAACGCACAGGCCACCTGCATGGTTGGAAATGAGTCCAAAACCCTATTATTACAGACCCGTACCGAAATCTCTCAAGTTCCAGGCCAACACAATTCAAGCTTCCCGCGTACGCGCCAGCGTGGCGTGTCCACCCTTGGCCGATTGCTCTTTCAAAAACACTCAAAACAGCAAAACGTACCAGAGACAGCACATTTGCGGCCCAGCAAAACGGACTCAAACTGCGCGTGCACACACACGCACTGAGGCAAGAACCCAACACGAACACGCTGCTGACGCTTAGATACAAACAACCCGGGAGGCCCCGCCCACCTGGAGTCTCCGCCCCACCCTGCAGCTCGCGTCGCCTCTCCCACCCAAAGCCCGTCCCCCTCCGCCGGCCTCTAAGTTAGAGGTTCGGGACAGTAGATTCAGCCTCGGTGGACCCTCTTATCTCACTGGAACAGGGAAATTAAGTGCAATATGGTGACGTTTATATCCTTCTGTTGTTAATATGGCACAGCGGACGTTGCCGGCGTTCGGCCCCGCCCCACACAGTGGCTCCGCCAATAGACGACACCATGAGCCCCGCCCCTTGCGTCATGAAACCCGGAGACCACGCCCTCTACGCCCGCGGCGCCCGGAGGCCCCGCCCGTGTCTCTTCTCCTGGCGTGAGGGGCGGGGTTACGACTGCGCGCCGTGGGGCTTCCGCGGCGGCCGTTGGCCGTTAGCGCGGCTTGGGTGGTTGTCTTGGAGAAGAAAGATGGCGGCGACTACGGCCGCAGTGGTGGCCGAGGAGGACACGGAGCTGCGGGACCTGCTGGTACAGACGCTGGAGAACAGCGGCGTCCTGAACCGCATCAAGGTGCGGCGGGCGGCTGGGCTTCCGCCAGGCGGGGAGGCTGGCCGGGCATGGCGGCTTCGCCGGGCGCGCGAGGCTGGGGCGGGGCGGGGCGGCTTGGGCTGGTCGCGCGGCCGTGGGGCCTGGGCCCGAGTTCGTGGGCCCGGTGTAGGGCGCGGAGGCCCGTGACCTCCGCTCGCTGGGCCTGCGGCGGGCACTCTTGTGCCTGTCCGTCTTTCAGACGGTAGGGACACTTCACGTTGCGAAACTGACTTGTAATTTTGTGGGGTTTCTTTTTTTTTTTTTATTGAAGGCTGAACTCAGAGCGGCTGTGTTTTTAGCACTAGAAGAACAAGAAAAGGTAGAGGTAAGAGCTCCTCAGACTTTGATAGGACCATACTTCTTAACGCCTGATTGCTAATAAATTCAAACCCATTATAGTTCAATGACTAACCAGGTATAATTAGGTTAGGGATTGTGCTTCTTTAGCATTACTCATTTTCTATATCATTTTGCATGTTAGAGTGTCCTTAAAGGAACACAGTAATTCTGACCATAGCTAAATCTCAGTCACAGGAGTTGCTTGAAACCGTTTCATTGAGTTACCTATACTCTGAATATCTTGGTGTTAAGGGATGTACTATGGAACGTTTTCCCAAATTCTGGTTGATCAGTTAAAATTCTGACCGTTCAATCACTTTGAAAGCATCTCTGATCTTACTTATTCAAAGTCCAGTTAGACCTGAGTGTTTAAATGATAACTTGACTTTTCTGTCTACCCCAAGTCCCAGCAACCAGCCTGTGTGAATGTCTTGTAACTTCTTTTCAATAAGAATCATATGATAATCCGTCTTCCTGTGTGACAGATCTGCCTTCCACCCTTCCAGGTCTGTGGACCTGCTCTACACCTGCTCTTTAACTTCCTCAGCCTCTTGCTTCTGTAGTCTTTGTCTCTGCATCATCTTTCCTGTTGGTTCTTGACTAGGCTAGATCCATTTTTCCACACCTTTTTTGCTTTTTAGTTATACAGTAACGATCATTTGATCCAGCAAATTATTTTCTTCTCCTCTTTCTGCGTTTGTCAAAGAAAAGTCCCTTAAGCAGTGAATCCCTGAAGTTAGGTAGTGGTGAGTACTAATGTGCGCAGGGCCTTGACTGCACTCAATCCGATCACCTTCTCTTTAGCTTTCTTATCTGTTCTTCATGCATGTCAGACTTGTCCTTTCCTCACAGGTAAAATAGAAGTCCCTATGTCCTGACTTTGTGTCCCACTGCTGCTCTTGCCAGTCTGTCAGGTCAGGGAAAGTCGCCTGTATCTGTATATCTGCACCCCGTCTGCTCAGTGTGTAGCCATACTGCTGCTTTAGGAGAAGGGGCTCTGTCTTGCCAAATACACGTCATCTGGTTTTGCCCTCTGTAGTCTCATCTGCTTAGTTAATAACTGTGTATTTGACTTGTCTTCTGCAGGCTGTTTTGAGCATAAAAGTGTTTAATTGCTCTTAAAATAGTTTGACTCAGTTTTTTTTCTCCTGCTTTAGCAGACAAGTTTTGAGAGAATATGTATATCTCATGTTGTTTTTTATCACCAGGTATCCCTTACTCCATTAAAATTTCAAATACACCACTACTATGCCTGAACTCTCTCTTGCTACAGTCACAAAGGCTCCTCCAGTTGAGGTACACTTTAGTCCTCTTCTGGCTTACTTGATCATTGCACGGTCTGAGATTAACTCCTCTTTCCTTTTGAGAAATATTTTGACCTTGAGAACCTTTTTCTATTCTGTTTTCCTTTAGCCTGTGCCTCGGTTTCTTTAAAAGATCTCTTTCCTGTACACCACACTTGAGTTGTTGGCATCCCGGCCTCCCCACAGTAACCTTAACACCACTAGTGACTTTATCCTTGTATCATCAGTACGTGTCTCACCTCCTGAGCTTTAGACCTGTAAGTTAGACTGCCTAACACTGACCTGATTTTTCTCTGGGCCTGCCCCGCCCTCACACCATTGTCTCCTGGCAGTGTCTGCCTGGCCATCCTTGGCTTTTCCAGAGTGGCACTTCCTAGTCTTCACTTTTGTTGGTGCCCCTCATCATTTCTGTCAAGTCTTTATTTGTTGTTGTTGGCCATTTGTAGTACTTCCCTAATTTTTTCCTTACATTTTCTTTGTCTAGTTTAGTTAACTCAGTGTCATAAATTTTCTGCACCATGTACTTCTGTGACTTGTCTCCCTCTTTTATTTTAGCTTGAGGTATAATTATGTCTGTAAACTCACTTTAAAATGTCAGACTTGATAAACATAATATTTATGGAAAGTGAGCAGCATAGCCAGAAAGAGAATATGGCTACAACTCTTCTAAGTTTTCATTTCTTTGAAACCTGCCTTCCCCAGCATCTTAATTATTTTCAAAGCCATGCAGATGGGAACATGTAAAATGTACTTACGTACCTTTGTGTCTGATGTCTTTCATTCAGCATAATGCAGTAGTGTATCTTACTCCATTTAATTCTGATTTCAGGATCATTCCATTATTTGTGAGTGGATATACATAATTTACTTAGCCATTTCCCCTTTGATGCCATATTTGTGTTGTTTATAAGGCTGTTGTGAATTGGCATGTTCAGATCTTTGCTGGGATCTGGGGTTTATCTTGAGAAAATACCTGAGAGTGAAATGACTAATTCCCAAACTGTTTTCCAGTTATCTGTGCCATTTTGTATTTTTATCCACAAGACATGAGGCTGTTTAAGGAAACCCATTATGTGTTACCTACATTATCATCACTCTCAGCAGCTACCCACCACAGGCTCAATTTGTGGGAAGTTTTTTTTTTTTTTTTTACATTTGTTCAGATCTGTAATCCAAAAAAATAAGTTGAGCTGTGGCCACACAGTCATCTCATATACCACTAATTAATTTGAAATTGCAAGTATATATATTACAATTGGTAGCTATTTAAGATGATAAATTTCAAATTGCATGTACTTGAAATATAAACAGTTAAATTTAATACTACATATTTGTAGATAAACCATTTAAAAAGCAGCAATGTAAAAAAAATTAAAATAAACGTCTTCATGTACGGTTTGATTTTGTTAACTTGAGAAGTTGCTAAATAGCACAAAGCAGGCCCTATGCTAAGTAAACGGTTGTAAAATGGATCTTAAAACCGTGGTTTATGAATAGCAATGTATGCATTCTTTTTATCTTTGCCAAAATAAACTTGACTGTTGACACTCAGCCTGGTCTCTTATTCCAGAAGATATAATCTCCAGTTCATTTTCTCACCTACTAATAATAAGCTTCAGCTGTATGATAAAGAACTTATATGTATACTTTTTAGTTGTTTTAGGATAAACACATAACACTTAAAATATTTCTTTTATTTTCAACAGAATAAAACTCCTTTGGTCAATGAGAGCTTGAAAAAGTTTTTAAATACAAGAGATGGTAAGATGTTATTCTTGTGTTTATTTTATCTGCCCCTGAGTTTTAAAATTTGTCAATATTTGGGGAAAAAACAGTCTTAATCTGTGCCACTACTCCTCTGTGACCTTCCTGTCTGATGCTGACTTTACAGAGGAGGGCACCACAATCCCTAGCTTCAAGCTGCCATATTAAGCCTTTCAGGTGGTGGAAAGTTGTTCTTTGTATAGAAAGAGAAACACTGAATCTATTTATGAAATACTAGACTGTCTTAACAGCAGATTGATGACTCTAATACAGAAAATAGAAAGGTTGAGATTTTCATAGTTCAGTGAATTATTCAGAGAAGAAATAAGTGATTTTAAAAACCATATTTTTCCCACAGCATGCTTCAGTTCATAAAGTAAACGGAGTTCTTGGGGCTTTGTTAATGTCTTTTTCTTAATCTTTACAGGTCGTTTAGTGGCAAGTCTCGTCGCAGAATTTCTTCAGTTTTTTAACCTTGACTTCACCTTGGCCGTTTTCCACCCTGAAACTAGCACAGTAAGAAGAATGGTTTTGTATCTTATCCTGGGAAGTGTCCGCGGAGGGCACACTAAGCAGGCATTAGTGAAGTCTGACACTTCACAGCTGCTTACACTTACGTTATTTTTTTGTGTTTCCCAGGTTGTTAAAACAATCTGAGCTGTTTCATATAACTTAGAGCTGCTGAGAAAAGAGGGCTAATGTAGAGTTGACTAAAATACCCTACTTTGTACTGCAGCTGTCAGTAGACATCTTAAGCATAGATGTTCAAAACTGCAAAACTCATTCCCTGCACACTTAGCCTCTGGATTTAAAGTCGTTCTTTAAGCTTCTAACATTTTCCCTTTAAAACGTGACGCTCCTGCTGTATCTTTTGCACCTAAGTCTTACTTCTTTTCTAGGTTCAAGGTCTTGAAGGTCGAGAGAACTTAGCCCGAGATTTAGGTATCATTGAAGCAGAAGGTACTGTGGGTGGACCCTTATTATTAGAAGTGATTAGACGTTGTCAACAGAAAGAAAAAGGACCTGCCAATAGGGAAGTAAGTATCCTATGCTGCCTTTTTCCATATTTCATTTTAGTAATAGGCTACTGAGTTAAGTTATGGAGATCAGTGCATGCATAATGAATTGAGGTTTGCATAAAAGGAAGCCACTCCCCCCCCCCCCCCCCAAGACAGGGTCATACTTTGTAGCCCTGACTGTCCTGGAATTCACTCTGTAGACCAGGTGGGCCTCAGACTCAGAGATCTATCTGCCTTTGCCTCCTGAGAGCTGGGATTGAAGGCCTGCACCACCACCACCCAGCACAAGAAGCTGCTTTCTTATAACAGTGAAATGGACCGAGATAGTATACAAATAGTATAATGAAACTTAAAATGTGCAGATATACTTGTGTACCTGTTTTGGCTGCTGGTCCTCGGAATGTTATGTTCAGGAGCCAGGCTGGAATAAATAATTTCCCCTCAGCGACCAGCTGTTGACCTTGAACCATGTATTACTTCACTATCCATTGCCTCCTTTACAAAATGACAGTGGGAAAGTAAGAACACTCAGCACAGGAAGCACTCTACTTCTGCTTGTTCTTATTATTAGTTCAGTGTGAAAGGCTGATTTATACATAATAAGTTTTGGACCTAAAAGTTTAAAAAAATAAACTTTTTTTTATTAAGAGTGTTTTGCCTGCACGTGTGGATGCATCATGTTTGTACAGTGTCCACAGACATCAGAACTAGAGTTACAGTTGTAAACAGCCATGTGGGTGCTGGGATCTGAACCTGGTTTTCTGCAAGAACAGCCAATGCTCTTAACCACTGAGCCATCTTTCTAGCCCATCTAAAGGTTTTTGTTTTGTTTTTATACTAAGCTTAAAAGTGAGCTGTTGATATTGCTTATTTTTTAAATGTTTTCAAACTCCTTTTTTTTTGGTTAGATTTTTTTTTTCTCTCTGTAGTTTTGCTATGTGCTCCAAGCTGGCCTTGAACTCATGATCGAAGCCTTCTTAGTATTCAGGTTACAGGTGCATGCTTTCTTAGTGGCAGTTACTTTTCTTTCCTGTCATCTATCTTTTGTGGAAATCTTGCTCATAGGATTGATGGTCTGACTTGTATTGCACACATTGCTTTTACCTAAAGATGTTGTTTGACATGCTCAGCCCCTCAGTGAGCCTCACTGCTGGGCAGGAGTGCGCTTTCCGTCACAGAAACATTTAGAGATCCGTCAGTTGAAGTCAGGGAAGTTTGTCTAGTGAGTACTAATTGCATTTAAGACATAGTAGATAGGTGCTCTGGGTAATAAAAGAGCAGGAGTTAAGAAAGTTCAGTGTCTTGAAAGAACTCAGCTAATCAAGAAGACAGGATTGTATAAGGAAATTAGAATTTACATGGCCAGTTAAGATTATAGAGAAGATGCTAGAGAAACATTGGGAGTGCAGCAGCTGTCTGATGCTGAACTCAATCCATCGAGATATTACAAGCTAAGATTCTTTCGGCATACCAGACAGGCATTTGTATCTTCAAAAGGGAAATGCTTTGCTCTCCAAATTGCAACACTATTAAGTTAGGGGGTCTATCTCCACTTTTTGCTGGTTTTTTTTTCCTTATAGAACAATTTTATTGGTAGGTTTTGGGTGGGAGTTGTTGGCAGGAGAGGTTAGGGTAGTGTGTATAAACAAAACTTATGATCAGGAATTCAGCAGGGTCTGGTGTTATTTTTTCACTTCTGAAATTCACTACCATTTTAGTTTGTTACTTTGAAAGGAAACCTGTCATAATTAAATAAAATTAGAGTTGTTTTGTTTTGTTGTTTTGTTTTGTTTTGTTTTTATCCTAAACTTAGATTGTGGATAAGAAAGCTTGCTGTAAGGAGATTGATGCATCGGGCTCAGTTTTGCTGAAAAACCAAAACTACATTTCAGAATTTTTATTTTAACTATTTACTTATTGTTTGTCTGTGTTCAGAATTGTTCTCTCCTTCCACCTTATGGGTCTTGGGGATCGAGTTATCAGGATTGACAGGAGTGCCTTTAACGACTGAGCCATCTAGCCAGCCCTAAAACTGCAATAAAACTAACTTAGGAACTGGGCTGCTAGCTTGCATCTCAGCTGTGGATGATTAAAAACACAGTACGTTTTCTGAGTTTCTCAGAGACTGAGTACCCTCATTTTTGGCATTTTTTGGCATTTTTGGCATCTACATCTTCATCTCTTCTAGAAGTGTCCATTCTTCCCAGTGGCTTCTCCTCAGTCTCTTCACTCGTGCTGAATGTCTATTTAAGAATTGCAGTGACTCCAGCATGAGATTGGCAAAGTCTGTTGGCTTTTGAAACTAGATTCTGTGCAGCTACGTATCTGCATCCAGAATGCTTAGGAGCAGAAGCAGTTCAGATTTTTGAGTTTTTGCAATTTGGAATGTTTCAACCTGAAAGCATGAGATTAGGGATTTCAGATTAGGGATGTTCAGCCCATACTCAAACCAAACTGAACTCAGTCCTTGAAAGAGACTGGAGCTTCCTTACCATTGGTTTTCCATTTTCTGTACCATCTTGTTTACCTCATTCGGCTGTGGCCTGTATCAGCCTCTCAGCTGAGTGGAGCTTCTTGGTTTCCCTCTTAAACTACTCACAACTGGGGTGAACTTAGTACCTGCTTCAGCCAAGTCAGAAGTCACTACACTTGGATTACAAAATGTCGGTGTGGGGCTTTTCTCCTCATGCCCCTTGGGAGATCTTCTACACAGTGATTCTGAGTAGATAGTTGTTTTCTGTCTCGAGGAAGGTTTTGAAGACTATGTGATTACAAATATGTCAGTATGGGGCTTTTCTCCTCATGCCTCTTGGAAGATCTTCTACACAATGATTCTGAGTAGATAGTTGTTTTCTGTCTCGAGGAAGGTTTTGAAGACGTATGTGAAAGCGGCCCATATGTAAGACAAGCTGGGAACATTTGAAGACAAAGTGTAGTAGAGTAAGCCCAGGTCAGCGTGGTGTGACAGGAAAGGTGGAAGGAAGAGTGGAGAAGAGTTTCTAAGTTAGCGTCTTTCAAAGGGTAGATGAGTCTTGAAAAGCAGTGTGGAAAGAGAAGAGCTTAAAGGTGAGAGGTAGATGCCTAGCCTCAGAGCTGTGTTAGAGTCAGGTACAGTGAGTTTCAGGGCAGAGCCATAGGGAGCTGCTTGTTTTCCTATTTAAAGAGTAGTTGAGTTCCTGTAACAAAGTAGCCAGTGTTTACTGTGCACAGGAAATGTGTAGGGATGATAGGTAAACTGTAGGAAAAGGTCCCTATTTAGACCACATTATCAAAAATTCTTAAGGGAACATCCAGAAGCTTGCAGTGATGATGCAGTGAGACAGAGCCCATAGTCACTTACGCTGGACTAGAACAAGTACTCTAATAATGGGCAACGAGGGAGACCTATGAAGACAGTCTGTTTGTCATCCCTGACTCCTCTCTGACCTTGGTTAGTTTTTATGACTAACTGTTGGGTTATTGTTGTTGTCATTAAATGAAACGGAAGCAAACCCAAGAAGGTAAAGAAAAATCAACCTTTGAGAATCAGAGTCATTAGTGTTAATTGAGAATGGAGGGGATTGGCCTCTGGGAATCCATGATGGAAAAGGTAGACTGGGCACCCAGATGTGTGAGTGGCCAGTTCAAGGTAGGTGAGGAAAATACTCTGCAGTTAATTCCAATCTTGGTGTTACATGTGTGTATTCAAATTAGAGGAAAATCTAGAAAATATTTATGAAGAATGTCACCTTAGTGTTCTTAAATGCTAAAATTCTATTGACGTATTATTGGCATGATCATGTTTTAGTTTCGGTGTGTTTCAGTTTAAACTATTATTTTTAGGGTGCTCTGGATCGATCTGATGGACATCCTCCCTCAAAGTCACCTGAAGCAAAAACAAGCGTAAACTCCATCCCAAGTAAGGTGAGTATACTGCTGGACAGAGACGTGGGCTGGGCCAGTCACCCAGGGTTCTGCTCGCTCTTCTTACCTTTCCTGTAAAATTTGTTACCCGTTTGTTTTTCTGTAAAATTTCTTCCCTGTAAACAAGTCTTTTTAAAGTTTCTTGAAGGTACTTCCCCCTTCCGATTAAGTAGGTGTTTTTAAAATTTGCTTCTTTTGTGTCATTGGTAATACTTGAATTTTGTATCTCAGAGGACACTGATACTTGTAATATTTCTGTATTGCTCTAGTAAGAGGCTTTACTCATGTTGCGTGATCTCCTAGCTGGGGAGCATGGGATTCCAGAATGCAAAATGTTGTAGCTGAATTTTGTAGCCTTTTAGACAGATGACCAGATTTGGAATCATGGTGCTATTTAAGTATTAATGAACTATTTTGACAAGATTTAGAGGAAAGTGTACTATGGTCTGTGTGTGTTTGTGTGTTTGGCTGTGCTAGTTTAAGGTAAGACCTGATTTCAGGGATACTACACGAAAGAAAAAATTTGAGTTAAACACTTGAGTTTAAGGTCAAACATATGTTTGAAAATAGGCTTAATGAAAAAGCGATGGTCTCCCATAACTGGTTAGAGTACATCCTGGTTGGTTCCAATTGGTCCTGTGAGGTAATGGGTTTGGGTCACATCTTAGTCCATCAGGCTGCTGTCATAAAGTACCAGAGACGGCATGGAACAGATGGGGCCACTGGCAGATTTGTTGTCTGGTGTGGGCTCAGTTCCTGGTGTCTTCTATATGTCCTTATGTAGTGGGAGGGGAAGGGGGCTCAGTAAAGTCTTTAATCCCCTGCTCTACACTCTTGGCTAATTACTCCCCAAAGGCCCCACTTAATGATATTGTTACCTTAGGAGTTGGGATTTCAACATAATCAGGTTTTTTAGGAGGATGGGTAGGCATAGCTGTACAGGTCATTGAAGTCCAGCATTACACCCTGGCTCTTCCATAGGGATAGAAAGACAGTGTGCAGTCCATCCAAGCCTAAGGCTTTGTGTGGGCTCAGGGAGGGACATGAATTGTGTAGATAAAACTGCTATCTTAAGTCAGGTGACCTTTGATGCTTGTGAGCCACATACTTCATTGCTAAGTGTCTAGGGCACAGTACCTTGCTGCCACTTATGGATTGTTCTTTGATAATTTGATCCTTTTTAAGCTTCAAAAGCCAAAGGATTCCATATTTGTAGCAAATATGGAATTTATTCTGTTGTGTGGCTCCCCCTGAAGTGGCCAGGCCTGTTTAGATGAGGAGTGTTTAAAGATGTTTTTCTTCTCTTGATTATTATTATGAAAAGCTGTAACTCTGATTGACATAACAGGTCGTGAGTAAATTTTAGGAATTCCTTTAAATGCTGACAGAGCCTGTGGAAGAAACATATTTTCCACGATGACAGAAGAAATTAACCAAAATTCTAAAAATACTTATCAGTGCTTAAAGCATTGTACTGTTTGGAAATCCACTTTTTAGTAAATTATTTTTTAGAAGTGTTGGACATTCTATGTAAAGTATATCCTCAAGAAAAAAACACAATAAAATCTGTTATTACATGTTTTATTTTCTCCATATATTTCTTAATATCTAAGAGGTATGGCGATACTCCTCTAAGTGTTTGCAGAAATGTTGCTTACAGAAGAACAGTCTCAGGCTAGGGTAGAATCCAGTGTCTCTCCTGAGGGAAGAGGCACCACATTTCTGCCATCTTTCATTTCCTTTCAGTGTAGTCTTCTATGTCATGAGCTAGAGTAGTCCCTTAAGAGGCACACCTAAGATTGCTGCTCACTGGCCGGGGCTGGGATCTGTTGAAAATACATCCTTGCTTTATCACTACATTCCCATTATACACCTGAAGGAGGTGCACTTCTACTTCTCCACCTCTCCTTGCCTGCCTCCCCATGATTCTTCATCAGTCTTATGAGCCCACAAAGTGAAAATGTAAGTGTGAGGGACACTGGAAAGTTGTAGCCAACGACTGGATTCAGCCCAGCCATTAGGAACCAGCTTTGTTTGCTCTAGGAAAGGTCAAGTAAAGTGTGAACAAGCCCTCAGCAAACTATTTAGGATTCACTCCAGGCCAGTGTAGAATGGCACTGAGGGCAGTGTGAAGGGAGCCAGGCTGCGCACACAGGCTGACAGGCAATGTACAGTGCCTGTCCCTAATCAGGAACCTGTTGGAAACTGGATAAAACAGAGGTAGGCACATCATGAAGTTATGAAAGGCTTCAAAAAGCAGGCTTTGGAGAGGAATTTGCCAATTAAGTTGTCCCTTTACAGATACTAATAGGAATCTTTATTAATTTGGTAATGAGTTAGTTTATTTTTAAAAATTTACATTTTATGGTAAAATGTCATTTTATTCTCATGCTCAGATACCAAGGTATAAAGGACAAGGTAAGAAGAAGACAAGCGGGCAGAAGTCTGGTGACAAGGTAACATGCATGAGGGCAGAAGAGAAAAGCAGCCTGTGCTGAGACAGGCCCTCAGACTCGGGGCCTCCTGCTAGCCTGGGTTCTAAGCTTCCTTTTTGAACATGACTGTCATCTATTATCAGACCATGAAAGCCAGACTTAGTGGCCCAGGCCTGTTGTCTAAGCTACGTGAGAGGGTAAAAGAGGACTGCAAGTTCAAGGCCAACCTGGGCAATTTAGTGAGATCTTGTCTAAAACTAAAAGGTAAATAGATTGGGGATGTAGTTGAGTGGCAGAGCACTGGACTAGCATGCACTATGCGCTAGGTTTAGTCCTCGGTAATGAAAGAGAGAAACAAGGTGCAGAGGTATGGGAAGGCATACTGGCATAAAACAACAACAGCATGTGAGTCTCAGCCTGATGAAAAACCGTAACTCTATTTATAATGAGACACTGATTTAACTTTCAGCTCTCCAGGATCCCTCAGTTCTGTGTGGACTCTGGCGCACAGACATTTTCCTAAGTTAAAAACTTCTAAAATAAAGGCTGCTAACTGTATTTAGTTGGAGTGATTTCAAACACAAATTCTTCTTCTATTCATTGTTCATACATTCTTCAATGAAAAGATGTTCCATTGTCCATTAAGTACTTTTGGAACATTTAATGCATAGTAAAAAAAGACTTTTTTTTTTAATTCACAGTCTAACTGGAGAGTGGTACAGTCGTGAGACTATAAGACCTGTGGTTTGTGTTTTAAAATTTATTGAATTGCCTGGTTTTTTTTTTTTAGAATTTTTAAGTTAGATGCATGTATCATACTATTGAGTTTTTATAACGTTACTTGTGTCTTAAGTCTTTAACTTAAAACATTTTGAACAAATTAGTACATAAGACCAGCACATGCTGAGAGACATTTCACTCTGTGTAATATGACACAGCTGTGGGGTGAGACTGTAGCCTTCATATGCTCTCTGACTTGAGGGAATTGAGACTCTTGGACCCATATCTCATAATGGAGACTCTAAGTCTAGGCCCTTCTGTTTTGTTACTGTGCTTCTTGAGTCCAGAATAGCTCCTCAGTCACTTGGAAATCCTTTCTCCCTTTTCTTCTCTGGCCTTGTTTCTGAATTGCTTTTGTTACCAGTGTGGATCTTAACATTGCCTCCTTTAGCCTTAGATAGCTAAGCTCTTTGCTCTTTCTTCTCTGCTTTTTGCTTTGCCTTCTGCGTGCAGTAAGTTTTCAGTTTCCAGAACATTCTTAGCAACATAATCAAGATACCTAGTTGCATGTAGTGGTTGTGTTTACACCTGCCAGAATGCCGGTGAGAGTAATTGCTTTGGCAGGTGAGTGCCATTTCTAAGTTGGAGCAATTGCTGGAGCCTCATCCATGTGATCAGCAGACATGAAGTGTGTGTGCTGTGTGTGTATAATTCAAGTGTGTGAGCTAAAACAAGGAAGCCCAGGGTACTGCTTCCCATTGAGCTCTGGAACTCTGAGACAGGCTTGTGGGCCCTTGTTAATTCTGGAAGTAAACTTTTGAATTATTCATGTTATCTCAATGTGCCATGTACACGTGTAATCCCAGCACTTCAGAGACAGAAGCAGGTGATTGCTACAAATCTGAGGCCAGCCAGGATTACAGTAAAACTAAAAAGCCATTTTTAATACGGTTGTGCATGTGGATGTAACTATACCTGATGTGTAAGGTTTTTAAAACAATCTCAGTAAGGTTTTAGTTTTGTTGTTAAGAACGATTGAATGGAGAGATTCAGAATACAAGATAGTAAAAATTACATGGGAAGTAGTTCTTTAATGAATTGGATTTATTTATTTTTTGCATTTAACTATATTGTGTGTATTTATGTAGTTGAACATGTATCACAGTACATATGTGGAAGTCAGAACAGCTTGAGAGTGGGCTACCTCCTTCCATCATGTGGTCCTGGGGTTGGAGCTCGGGATGCCAGGCTTGGGGGCAGGTGCTTTGCCCGCTGAGACATCTCACTGGCTGGAAAGGGTGAGATTTAGAGCCATCTACCCAGGCTTTCAAAGTAGTGCCTGTGATTATTTCTTTGTATTACCATTTTGTTTCTACAAATAATGTCTCAGTTGTCTGAGAAATTAATATGATAAAACCCACTCTCAACAATTGGACAACATAAGCTGGACGAGATGCAGGCTGTGGGGGAGGAAAGGGAAGGAGGTGACTAAAGGAGTTAGGCGAGGGGATTGAATATATTCAAAATACCATTATATGAAATTCTCATAAAGAATTAGCAAAAACTGTTTCTTAAAACATGATAAATATAAAAAGCTGCGACAGCTAGGTGTAATGTTGTGTGCCTGTATCCCAGCACTGGGAAAGTGGAGGCAGGAGGATTGATCGTTCAAAGCCAGTCTGGGCTTAATGTACTGAACTCTAGGTCAGCCTGAACTGTGTAGTGAGACCCTGTCTCAAGAACTCAACAACAACAAAAAAATCATAGACTTGGCTGAAGCTCTGCTCACTTGGCTTTCTACCATTAACTGGGAAAACAAAGCAAGATGGATTTAGTTTTAATATTTAGCCTTAGTACATCCTTCTCTTCCTACTTTACTTCCTGTCACCACTGCGGGGTGGGTGAACCTCAAGGCCTCAGGTGTGCTGCAAGTTATTTTACTGCTAAAGCATTTCCCCAGCTCTAGGATGAAGGGTGTTGTAGCATGTTGTTAAATGTTATATAAGAAGTCACTAGTTTACAGACTAATATTGAGGCAGTTTTGCTTTTAATTCTTTTTCTGTTTGTTTGTTTTTCAAGACAGGTTTCTCTGTGTAGCCTTTGCTGTCCTGGACTAACTTTGTAGACCAGGCTGGCCTCGAACTCACAGAGATACTCCTGCTGCTGCCTCACCAAGTGCTGGGAATATAGATAGACGTGTGCTACTGTGCCAACCTCTTTTAATTCTTAATAAGATGACATAAGTTGTTACTTCTTTCCTAAATTCTTGAATAAATTTAACTTTATATTGATTTTGGACATTGGTCATAGTCGTATGTATGTCTCTCAGGCTAGGTTTGTTTTATGTCCATGCCTGTCACCTCAGGGCTTTATATTGAGTGTTAGCTTTTTCCTGTTTATTCCTCATCTTGACGCTGGGTAAATGGGAGGCAAGTAGTTGGAAACACACTTACCTGACCCTGGGGTCTCTGTCTCTTGACCTCTTGGCATTGTCACCAGATGAGTCTGATCTGCTAGGGGCAAAAGAGCTGAGGGTACAAGGTTGAGGCTCTTTTACAGGGACCATTCTTGGGACAGCTCCTGAAGTCCGCGCTTCCATGGAGTGTGTGCGAGCCTGAGATGACTGACTGCTGGTGGGGAGAGGGTTTCTCTAGACACACTGAACGCTTTAGAGACTTGTCGTGGGGTTCTAGCATTCTTGCATATTGAGGCAAGGAAATTAAATTTTCTAAGTATATTGTCCAGTTTAACTGTAATGATATTCTGTCAGTACTTCGTTAGTAAATATCAGAAATAGTAAAAGTAAACTCCATAAGTCATGAACCAAAGGTGCCTTTGCCAGAGTGGAGGTGGAGGGCAGTGGCGGCCTGTGTGAGGAAAAGAAACAGCACGTACATGTTTGTAAAACTACAGTATCTTGTCTTCTAATGAACAGTGCACGTTAAGGTATTTGGAAACAAATTATCTTTTTCTTTTCCCCTCAGTGCTGAGAATTGAGGCTTTTGTGCTGGCAAATCCTGTTACCATTGAACCATACCTAGCCCTTTTTCAAGTTCCTAAAAACGTTATAGCAGTAAATTTTTGGCTATTAGACCAGCAGAAATTTTCATTGTGAAACCTTGCTCTGCTCTCATTTTCTATTATTTTTTAAATGATTGAATTTTTGATTATATGTTTATTAGAATGCTAAATGTGTACTAAAATTTTGAAAAAACTTTTTATCATAATTTACCACACAGTTTGTTAATCCTGAGCTCCATCGAAGGGAATGGCTGATGCAGCACTGTTCAGTAAGTCCCTTCATTTGTGTAAAATGACAAAGGCTAAGTTGCATTATAAACAGATATGACTTTCCTCAGCTTCTGTACCAGAATATAAGCTGGAGCTCGAAAAACAGGACCTGTTGTTTCCTGGTCTGGAGGCAGAGCAGAGCAAAAGGTTCTCTGTCGGCCTCTGTTGTGTTAGGCAAGCCTGGGTGATGGTCTTCCCTTACAGGTGGGTCACCGGCAGTGACTCCGTACTCACACGGCACTAGTGTCATGTGTGTGTCTCTGTTAACTAGCTCTGGAGGAGCTTAGTTTTTGAGTTACAGAGCTGATTATTTTGAAAGTTTGTTTCCACTTCATTAATAGGACTGTATGTTTAGAATAAAATAATTGTGTTTTATTTAAAAATGTAGATGTCGTGGTATAATGTCCTTCTCCATGTAACTCATCCTCCTAAAACTGGGCCTTGTGTCACTAGTAAGAATGTCACTAAAAGCAGACAGTTGGTGTCCATGGACAAGCATTAATCACCATGCCCTTCAGTGTCCTATAATCTGTACAGACTTGAGGAGAGCATGTCCTGCAATCACTGTCTTGCAATGTTGCTTTGTGTCTGTCTCAATCTGCCTCCGCCCTGTTAAACCATTTCATCAGAAGAAGAGAGTCAGCATCAAAGCCTCTGGATGTGTTTAAATATCATAAGACTTGAGGGTATTTATTTTTACATGTCCATCCTAAGATAATGCTATGCTGTGTGCATGTGGGAAAACAGAACATCCCCTGCGTAGCGCCTTGTGTTGGTCTACTCCATATCTGTACTGCCCAGCTTCTTGCCTTGCTGCTAGTTAGCTCTGCCCCAGCCTGTGTGTAACTTAATGTAACTCAATGTACATACTGACCAAAATTAATTCTTGAGGAAATTCGTGTCTTAAAACCATCCCCTTCGATCACACAGTTAACAAGCCAGACAGGCGTTTTCCAGGTCCTTTATTTCAGATGAGTGCTGTTTCTGGAGCATCATAGGGCTCTATTGCAATATAAAGCCAGACATTTGAAAATTATCCTTTTCCGTCCATATTAGGTGAAATTTCATAAAACTCAACCTAAAGGTATAAGCTGAGTGTTAAGAGCTAGCCTCAGCTGGATGTAATGGTAAACTGTAATCCCAGCCACTGGGATGTAAGAGGCTGTATAGTAAGTTCAAGGCCACTTGTGCTACATGAGACCTTTTCTCAAAAGGGAGGAGAGGGGGGCTAATCTGATGTTCATTTTACCATTTAACTACAAGTTACATTACTGCCTTTGTGTCCTTCCTTAGACACATCCCACAGTGGTAGCCCAAAGATTGAATGGGGCATTAAGTATTCACCATAATCGCTAGCCACTGTTGTTATTACTGGCATTATTTCTTTGTTGTTGTTTATATAGATAGAAGTGGTTTTGGACTAAAAGAGTTATGGCCAGGTATAAACTAATACTATGTCAGGGTAAACGAAACACTGTAATAGTTCATGCTGCCCTCACTGTGCAGCAGTGGGGCAGGAATAGAAATGCTTTTCCAATAGGAATTTTTAACCTTGCTCTAAGTTACATAAAGGATGTGTACGCCTCTGGTATAGAGGTGCAAGCTAGTAGATAGCCCAGCAAGCCTGAGTTATTCTGCTTGTTGGAAATGTGAGCATTCGAAGGCCATGTCTTTTTCCTTACGGCTTTCATTTGGTGCTGGGTGGAGAGCTGCTCTCCTCTCTGATGAACAGTGCAGCTTGGTTTAACTTGTGACCGTCGTCTTAAGTTAGCGCTCTCTCCTGGTTCAAGCTGAAAATGTACTCAGATATTTTACGCAGCTGGCCATGTTGTCGCAAGCCTGTAATCGCAGCACACAGGGAGCCAGAGGCAGGTGGATCTCTGAGTTCGAGGACAGCCAAGGCTACACAGAGAAACCCTGTCTCAAAAAAACAAACAAAAAAGATATGTTATGCAACAGGGTCATACATATAAGACAAAAAGGGAAAGCTGTTTATGAATGAGAAGGTTGCTAAGTGAGATAGGCAGAGTAAAAACATTTTCATTTAGAAAGAAAGGGAAGAAATAATGTAAACATGCTTCTTCAGCATTTGCCTTTTGAAACTTGCTTATGTCAGGAAGCTTTAGAACAGAAAGCCTTAGGGAAACATAGGACTAAACTGCAGTTGCTGTTGTTAAAGGGCTGGCCACAGACACCTGCATACACATATGCACATATATAGCTCCTATGTTGACTGTTGTCTAAAATATCTTAGACGTTTTATCACCAAGAAGACTTCTCCCTCTTTTTTTAGAAGACCAGCAGTGAGACCAGTCAGAGTGAGCCAAGTATCTCCTTGTCAGAACCCAAAAGTAAAAGCAGCCTGCACTCAGTGGCCCATGAAACAAGAATTGCATCTTTCTTAAGCAGCAGCGCTTTAGATGCCAAAGAAAAAAGTGCTCTTTGTGCAGATGAAGATGATGGGGAAGGAGATTCTTTCTTTGATGATCCCATTCCTAAACCAGAAAAAACTTACGGTTGGTGAGTAGGCTTCTTCTTTGGATTATGACTCATGGTTTAAAAACAAATTTCTAGATGCTTTCACTTTATATCTTAAATCTGCTAATAACTATAATTGTTGAATTCATAAATCTGATTTTGTGCCAGTAAAGTCTAGTATGTTATAAAGTAATGCCAGGGATACTGAAGACACCAGGTATGAGCTGTTTACGCCAAGTGAGCCTGGAGGAACCCACCATGTACTAGCAGCTGTTTCGAGGTTTCAGTTTGTTTCAGGGTGGAGCAGTGAGTTCTGACTGCTGCCTCAGGGGAGCACCCTCTGAGGGAGTCAGGCAGTCAGCACGGTTCACCTTACAGTGCACATGCTGGGTGATGGGCTGCACTTGTGGGTGCTGGGACCTTGTCGGTGTCAATAGCTTACCAGAGAAGGTTGGAGTTGGGCCACTTACTTTTGGAGTGCCACGTGAGCAAACAGCTACAGGAAATGAGCAAGCACATGGAATCCAGGTTTACATCTCTCCCAAGAGAGGAAGCAGCAAATGTAAAGGGCTCTGGTCAGCCCGAGAGGACAGAGAGACAGTGTGGTGAGAAGGGAGAGGCACTGATGGCAGTGCTCGGGAAGTTAGGAGGGAGCTGTCCAGAATGCGTGCAGTTGTGGACTGAATACTCCCTCAAGGTTATAGGGCTCTGCAGCTTCCTGGACAGTCTATACATTTGAGACCTAACACTCATTTGTTGTTTCTGGGAGGTGGCGGAGGGCTTCTGAAGGAAATCCTAGACAGTGCAGGTGTCCAAGGTCAGCCTGGCTTGAGAAAAAGCAAACAGCTGTAAATTTGGGGACCTGGAGCTTCATTGACAGACTTACTGAGTGGATCCATAGCCACAGGTTGCTTGGCAGTTTGCATTGCCCTCTACATACGATCTATGATTGTCAGCCTCTAAAACTTTTTTGTTTCCAGCCATTGTATGCATATAAAACTTCTTTAAATTGCTTTTTATGTGTACAGAGTCAAAGACTATAGTGAACAAAGTCTGAAATTGTCATTTAACTGTCGATTGCTTCCTGTTAGGAGAAGTGAACCTAGGAAGCACGTGGGAAGTCTGGCCTCACTTTCTGACAAAGCCCCCTTACGGAGTGGCCTCAGCTCCCTGGCAGGAGCCCCTTCATTAACAGATAATGAGAGTAAGTACTCGAATGGGTAGTTTTTTCTCTCTAGATGACTGTGATGTCATTGCTGTGACCAAAAGAAAGTTGAGGAACAAAGGGATTATTTCAGCTTACAACTGTAGTTCCTTATGAATAGAAATCAGGACAGGAACAAAAGCAGAGACCATAGAGGAACACTGCTTCCTGGCCTGCTCCTCATGACTTACTCTGCTTGCTTTTTGATAGAACCTAGGCTGACCTGCCCAGGTGTGGTGCTCACTGCTCAGTGAACTGGGCCCTGCTACATCAGGCCTTAATCAAGAAAATGCCCCACAGGCTTACCTTACGGGCCATGCTGATGGAGGCAATGCATCAGTTGATTGTGTAGTTTTCCTAGATGTAGTTTATGTCAGGTTGACAAAAACAAACAAAAACTAGCCAGTCACATGTGATATAATTACTGTGGATTGTTTTAGAAAAATCCTAATTTCAGTTGGACAATATTTTGTTATTCTTTTCAATTCTTAATATAGTCAGTATTCTCCACCATTTGTATTCTCCTTTGCTAAGCTATTAAAATATATTTAGGAAACTGCCTTTTAACTGGTTTAGACTATTGATAGGTATTCATTTAGTATACAGCTACGGCTTGACTTAAAATTTTTAAATTTTATACAGAAGTGATGCACATTCAATAGAAACCATACTTCAGATGTTAGTCTTGATTTTTGTATGTCTACAATATGCACACCCTCTGTGTTTTATCATCATGCTGGTCAGTGTCATGATCATGAGGGAAGGCAACCAGTGCTCTCCAGCATGCTGCTTGCCAGACTGTGATGTTTAGTAGGTAGGCATCTCCAGTGGAGTTTTTATTTATGAAATTGTCACCTTGGGGTAAGAGTTAGATGCTGTCCCATTCGAAGACACAGACCGTTTGTAATTTGTAAGTCATGTCTCATGGACCTTCAAAATAACTTAATTTTTTTAAAGGTGTTCTGGGATAGAGTAGTCATTATAGGAATCATTGCATCTAATGTGCATCTCATGGCACAGACAGGAGAGACTGTTAGTGTGGTATAGGATAGCCAGCCTCCTGCACTTGGCCATTCTATCTCATCCTATCCCCACCCCTGGACAACATTGCCAAGTCTTTAAAAAGGGTGTGTTGTCTTCACCCCATCGCAGCCAGCTCAGTGTTTAAGCAGCAGGTGTTCAGAGCATCAGCAGAGTTTCCTGAAGTAGAGAGAACTCCACTTGGAGTTCACAGTATTGGATTTTATATATGTTTTTATTTTGATGGTTGTATTCCAGTAAAGAATAGTAAAATCTGGTTTCTCTCCATAACACATGAAACCTTTGCCTTTTACCAATAAAAATGATACCCAGGGAGTGATGGTACATGATTCTAGCCTCTCTTGATTACAATTTATAATTTTTTTCTAAGTTTTCTATACTCTTAGGGATATAGATGCCCCACCTGAAAGAAAACTTATAGAATAAGCTCTTTTCATGCAAGTGTTTTTCCTATCTGCAGGTAAAAGGGGAAGCACAGTCCTGAAGGATCTGAAATTGGTTGGCGAGAAAATTGGATCACTTGGACTAGGTAACTGGATTTCAGTTTTAGTATGATTGTTGATAGCATTTTCCAGATTAAAGTCTACATGGAGCCTTCCTGCTGTCGTTCAGCAGGTAGTGAGGAATTGTCATGTGTCGAGTTCAGCACTGTGCAGGGGGGTGGCTGTAGCAACAAGCCGTACAGACCATTGTTTTGTGGTGCTCAGACTGTAGTAGGGGAATGCTTCTGGCCTGAGCTTTCATAGAAGGCTTTCAGAAGAGGCTGTGGCGAGACCTGGTGACCAAGTCAGAGATTTTGGTTGAGACTGGGTGAAGTTTGTGCAGATGCAGAGCTGTACTCTGGGTGCTGTGAGGACAGGATCCAGACAACAGGAAGTCAGCCTAGTGCAGGCTCAGATTGCGAGAGGACAGCTGTGTGCTCTTGTGTTGTGTGGAGCAGGTCTAAGTAAAGAGATTCCTATAGGAGTAAGAGAACCAGTGTACACATAAGAAAATGGTACTGCTGGGGCTCTTGGCCATCTCCTGTCCTCTTTTATGGATGTGAAGTGATGCTGAGTTGCTCTGTTTTGAGAGCATTGGCTTCTGAGGGTTTTAGAACACTGCTTCTTAAGCAAACTGGGGAGAAAGTACTGTGTACCCGTGCACTTTATGAACTTGGACATGTGGGCTAGATCAGAGATTCTCCTGTACCTGGCCAGCCACTCTGAATAGTGCACAGGGCCTAGGTGAAAGATAGAGAGGTTTGTGTGACAATCCCACCTATGGCCCTGACTTCGGGTAAACTGTGCCTTTCTTTCTCCTCTGTTAAGTGGGACCAATAACATCTACCTCACTTTAAAGAGTAAATAGGATTTAAGCATGTCTACATACGTATAAGTACAGTGCCTGGCTCAGGGGCACCACAGATGCTGGTTTCCTTTTTGTGTCACTTTGTTTGCCATTTGCAGAATAGGTGTTTTTGGAGCTGTCTAGATCCTTGCTGCACACAGTGCCCTGGAGTCCTGGTAACTGCTGATTTGCTAAGAGTGCTGCCCTTCCTCTGTGCCTCCTGGTTGCTGGCTGGCCAGCTAGGTGGGCCCACTCTTCCTCCTTCCTGCTTCCTTCCCATAGTGTGATGACAGCTGCAGGAGTTCTTGATTCTAGCACCTCAGTGGATTTTTGCCCCCTTGACCATGATACCGCAGGTACTGTTCTGTCTCCTTCAATCTGACATCATGTTTTACTCTGTGGTGGTTTACCTGGTGCCAAGCCTTTGTTTGAGCTCCCCTTTGCATTGCTGCTGTTCTCTTCTCCAGGTGGTTTCCCTACTCGTTGCTAAGGTGGAGCTGCAGGCTGTTGGAGGAAATAAAGTGCCAGGCCACTGCTTCACTTCATGCTGGCATTTGAGCATGCCTTGAGCTGAAATTTGGGTAGTTGTACAGGGCACATGTAGATAGGATGCCATCAGATTCTACAGAAATGAATAGTCTTGTTTAGTGGCACTCTAGTACTATCGTTTGAGCTGTTTCTGTTACAAATGTGCATGACAAGAGTGTGAATATTGTGAGGAATATACAGGAGGATGATGTCAGTAATGCACATCTCTCACCCTGTGAAGACATTGCTTTTATTCTTACCCTGGGAAACAGGCTTTGTTCTGATTTTACAGATGAACATAAGCTTCTAGGATCTTGATGTGTCGACTCAGCGCCTTCAGCCACTGTTATACTTGGACATTATTTAGATACCATTTCTATGGGAATTGGATTTCATAGGAACAGCTTAAATAAAGCTTTAGAACACAGTCTATTTTAGTTTAATTGACAGATTAAAAGTAGGTAAATTTTAAAAAAGGCAAATGAGCTGGTCTTGTGGCACATACCTTTGATCTTAGATTTGGGAAACAGATAGGGAGATCTCTGAGTTTGAGGCCAGCCAAACTACATAACTAGACTGTGTTAGGTAGATTTAAAACCCGCATAGTGACTACACTGAAGGATAATATATTGGATACTTAAAATTTTCTAAGACAGTGATCTTAAGTCTTCACACCACAAAATTAAAACAAAAATATATGATTTTATGCATTAACAAGCTTGACTGTGCTGATCATTTTACTTGTACATGTTAAGACATGCTATATATTACATAAATTTGCATGATTTATAGTAAAGGTAGAAATAAAAGTTTACAAATGGAGTGTTTATAAACAGGCACTTTTCCGTTTAAATCAAGAATAGTAAACTAACATTCAGTAGAGTAGCGAATTTGGCTTTTGCCAGCCCTGTAAAGTCTTTACTACATATTTTGTGGTATTATTGTTGTTTTGTTTTAATATTTATTAATGGGCTGAAGAGATGGCTCAGTGGTTAAAAGCACCGACTGCTCTTCCAGAGAATCTGGGTCCAGTCCCCAGCATTTATGCAGCAGCTCACAACTGTCCATAACTCCAGTTCCAGGCGATCTGAGACCTCTTGTCGCCTCTAAGGGCAGCAGTCACATGGTACACCGACAAACCTGCAAGTAGAACACCCATACACGTAAAAGAAAGATTAATTTTTTTAATTATGAAAAATATGTGTTTAAAAATCTGAAAACTACTTTCTTAGCTCATTGGCTTATATTGGTCAGAAGCAAGAATGAATGTAAAAAATTCAAGTGGTAGGCCAGGTGACGGGGATAAAGTCTTGGGCTGAGGCAGTTGTCATAGATAAAATGAAGAAAATAAGAAACACTGGTTGTGGGCAGCATTTACCAGCCTCTGCTTTAATATATTCTCTGTTGAATGTACTCTTCAGTTCCTAACTTAGAGAAACATGTGATAGCCAGGAAGGCAGAGGGTCTTCTGTGTAGCAGTACACTGTTCAGTAAGTGTCTTGGGTTTGAATTAGCTACAAATGCTGAAGGCAGAGAATTCGGTTGGCTCATTACAGATCCAAACCGCAGCCCCAGTGTCCTGCTCTCCTGACTTGGTTTCCTCGTCTGTGTTGGTCTTTATTCTTGGGGACACAGTATTGGTCCTAAGAGGCCCTAGGACTTTATTAGCTGCCACCATTGTTTGTATAGTGACTTTTGCAAACCATCCACGGCTGTGGTTTGTTCTTTTCTTCTCTCCCTGTGAGGACCAGACACTGCCTGCTTTCTCTTAAGCTCTTGCAGACCCTTAACCTTTGTGCATGGACGTAGAGACAGCCTCTTTATCCCAGAGAAAGGCACCCAGAAACTTGTCGCTGCCTGCTACTACTCTTCAGGGGCTCCAGTAGAGAGTCTCTGCACCTCACCCCATTCCATGCCTTTGCCACTCACACGGCTTTCTGTTACCTTTACTTTCATTGCTCTTCTTGTGAGAAAAGACATCAGCTCACTCTCTGGTACTGTGCAGCCTGTCCTGCTGCTCAACTTGTCTCGAACACTGTCTTCATTGTGTCAGGACTTTCACTTACTGTGCTTCTGTTTCTCCCTGGTTGTGGTGGTGCATGCGTTTAATCCCAGGCAGGTGGATCTCTGAGTTCAAGGACAGCCAGGGCTACACAGAGACACCCTGTCTCAAAAAACACACCTTCTCGCCCCCAAAAAAGAAAAAAAGAAAAGAAAAAAAAGTTTTCCTAGAACTTGTGCCTCTGCTGTCTTGGATTTCAGCTTCTGCTGCCTCGGACGGAGGTCTTCCCACCCACTGTGTTGTTCTGCAACATGATGACTCTTGCATAATGTTCACTGGTGTACCTGTGGAAGACCTCTGTCACTCCAGAATGTGACAAATGAGTAATCAGATACTATAAGAGAGTTCCCTGCCCCCTCTAGACCTTGAAACCCTCCCCCCCCAAGTCTGGCCCATGTTTTGGAGGACTTAGGACAGTATAGGCAGCAGCTTTGAACAGTTCATTCTCCAGTGTTTCATGCACTGCAGCCTCCCTCTTGTCCCTTAGCTAGTTCCTGTGCACTTTTCAACCATTATTCTCTCCTCCTATGAGTGGTTGTCATGCTCCTCTGATGCTCTTTCCTTAACTGCTATAAGAGGCATGGGAATAACAGCTGATTTGCAGTTCGTTGTCATTGAGAGCTGGAGGTCAGGTCTTGAAGGTGCTCTCCTCAGAGCCCAGTGTGTGAGGAAGCAGTTCCTCTGCATCAGTGACAGCTCCTCTTCAGGTGACGCTTTCATCTGGAGTGTCTTGTGAACCAAACTCTGAATCCAGAACTCTGTGGTTGGGTTGTGCTTGGTTGTGCCTGGACACACCTGTGAAAGGCACCAAGGGCCCAAATGCTCTCTTGCTTCTTCACACCTTTTGGTTGTTTTTAAATTTCAACAGACTGTTGAGTAGCAAGTCCTGGCAATTAAAAACAGGGTGACTAGAGAAGTTGGTGATGCCTTTCTGCCGTGTCACTGTTTGTATTTCTGTGTGACGAGGATAGAAGGCAGGGTTATGAACATGCTAAGCAAGTATTCTGCTATTGGGTTACAGCCCCATCTGTGCTTCGTCAGGTCACAGGGCAGCTCACCATGATGCTGCCCTGTGACTAAGCCGCCTTCCTGAACCTAGGACACAGACAGGGTATTCTCTCTTCAGCATGTGGCACAATCACTTGAACAGCTTTTATTTGCCTTCATTATGTGTGTAGTGAAAATACTACTTCTGGGGCTGGAGAGATGGCTCCATGGTTAAGAGTGTGTGTTGCTCTTCCAGAGGGCCAGATTCATTTCACAGCCTCCACATGGTAGCTCACCACCACCTTATCTCTGGTTCCAGGGACTCCAAGATTCTCTTCTCCTTGGGCACCAGGCACACACATGGCATGTAAAATTTAAAAATTAAAACAATTTTAAGTACTATTTTGGTGTAGTATATTGTATATTTTGGTATACATGCTTTCATGAAGTAATGTCATTCAATAATGTATTCTTTTGGGAGGAAGCATGTCTATTTAAGATAAGTATTTTTCTGTAAGTGAATAATAACATTCTTTTTCTTAAACTGATTGCCAGGGACTGGAGAAGAGGAAGACTATGTTGATGATTTTAATAGGTAAGAAATGCCTTGAGGTGACTATGCAAATCTTTAAATACTTTCTGAATATAAGCATGGCAAAATTACATTAGGGTTTACTTTGTAATTGATTCTCTTTTTCATGTTGATTGAAAGTACAGAAAGATAGTTCATCCAAAATTATATTTTGGAGTGACTTCATCTTATGTTACAATACAGATGTATATATATGTTGTGTTAGGGGAGTTGGAAAGAATGAGATAAAGAAATGACATCAAGGGGTTGACCTGTCACTTGAAATAAGTCACTAGCTTATCCTGAGGCTCTTTTTTTTTGTATCCTTTGTCTTTGTGGTAGCCATTGTTTGTGACTTTAAACAAAACTGCCTTCTTCCATGTGACATTACTCAACATTTTGTTTGAGGTGACTTTCTTGTATGAATTGCCTACTAATATGAAAGTAATGTTTGTTATAAATATGATTAGAAAATTTTAATTACATGCTTGGAAATTTTGACAGTTTTCTTTAGAGATTTTTATTTATTACAATAATTTATTGTAATGTGTTTTAGAGATAAGAATAGCATGCGATAATTGACATTTGAGAAGTTCATGTTTTCAGTGTGATTGCCACTTTTGCCCTTGTAAGTTTTCTTAGATGATATATTGAAATTGATGTTTGCTGTTTTTATGTGTTACTTAGAGATTAAAATCTCTCAAAAATGTGAGCATTGGTAGTTATTCTTCATAGTTCTATTTCATTTTCCCCCTCATAATTAGTGCCAGCCATCGCTCAGAAAAAAGTGAGCTAAGTATTGGTGAAGAAATCGAAGAAGACCTCTCCGTGGGAGTAGATGATGGCAACACCAGTGATAAGGTGAGGGGCTAGTACGTCTCGAGTGAGTGTGTCCATTTGTTGATTTGCTGTGAGGCTTGGTAAATTTATATGACTAATAAAAATGGTTGAAAATTACAAAAAGTTGGTGACAGTTACCTATTCCAAGCCTGAAGAAAACCCCTAAGGGTCTGTGAGACTCAAGCTGTCAGTTATTTGGTACCTGTACTCTGACAGACTTGAGCTGTGGCCTGTGGACTTGCTTCAGGTTAAGGATGGCCACAAGGATCAGGATTAGAGTAAAAATTGCCTCTTGAGGTTTCAGAAAAGAGATTGGGGGTTAGCTCAGCAGTGGACCACTTGTGTGGCAAGCATGACGCCGTGGGTTTGATCCCCAGCAGTAGCTAGCACTAGGAGGAAGAAAGGAGAGTTCTGAAGAGCATCTATCATTTTCCACATTTTCTCAGCACTCAACACTTTGACCTCTTTGATTTAACATCCTAGCCAAAGCAAGCAGGCAAGAAAAAGACTAAACATCCAAATAAGGAAGGAAGAAATCAAATTGGCAGCAGCTTGATCAAAATACATATAAAATATGAAGTAGTCCACCTTACAGCCATTAGAACTGATTAGCAGACTGAAGATTGGTACAAAAGCATACAAAAGTCAGCAGCACTGTTGTACACCAAGAACACAGTGCAAACTAGACACGAAAGGACAGTCCTATTTGCTGCGGTCTTTCCTTGCTTTAAGTCAAAAGGAAGAACTGATCACTACTGTGATTATGAAAGAGCACTACTGTGATTATGAAAGAGCACTTATAGTCATAGTTTTTCTCTACTCTGATCTAGTCTAAAATTAGCATTAATACAGTATTCAGTTCTTTTGCAAATAAAATGGAATGCCTTAATGATTTCATTATTTAATAATGATAGTAAAACAAATACAGATCCAAAGTATCAGCCTTACCTATTTTATAGTATGTGGGCTTTTCTGATTTTCTTTTTAAAAAAGTATAAACAACTTTAATTCTGGTTAATTATAATAATTTTTCTTTGTGACAGATAGTTGTATAAAAACACTGCTGTTTGACCAGGAGGGAAAAAAAAAAGGGTGATTTATTTAAATGGATTTTATTATCTAAAGAATAATAAAATAAGATGTAAAGGGGCAGATGAACACACTTAAGAGCATGAGTATCACAAAGTCTGGATAGGAAAAGGTTCTCCCTTGGTGGCTGTATTTCCTGGGAAGCCATCTCTAGTCCAGGGCTGGTCCCTGTAAGCAGGCTACAGATGATAAATCCTATTTTTATAAGGTATGTATTTGTCAATTATGTATAAATTATAACAATATACAGATTGATTCAGACTTTATTTACACTGCTTTTTCTCCTTCTCTTGGACAACAAAGCTCGATGACCTCACACAAGACTTAACTGTTTCCCAGCTCAGCGATGTTGCTGATTACCTGGAAGATGTTGCATAGACTGGAAAAGGAAGTATTCTGATCAACAAAGGACAAAGGGCTCATCAGCTCCATTTTCCTCAGACAGTCACTCTTGCTGGAATGTCCACTCCTGCTGGTGCCTTGCATTTCAAAAAGTCTTCAAAAAGACTGCAGATATTTTTAAAAGTTAACTTTTCAGTTTAGTAAACAAAATACTTCCTATATGAGTCCCTGTCTAGGAGAGTTGATATTCTTAATTTGGTTTAGCTGCACATCTCCAAGGAAACCATCTGTAGTCAGGCTTATTAAGGCAAGGGAACCCCTGAAACATCAGTGTTAAAGAGCATAAAGAGGGATCAGTACAGCCACAGTTTGTGCCACTGTGTGTCTGTGGCTGCTACAGGGATCTCTGGACCCTTAGCACTCGCCATCAGAAGCTCACCCCAAAGCTGGTGAACTGACCTGGTAAATCCATGATGCCGAAGAGTATCAGTACAAGTTAAATTGGATATATGAACTTTATTTTGTATTTCCTTCCATTTGGAAGGTTTGTTAGACCATTAAGGTTATATTAAAGTACTCTGTGCTGTTAGTTTTGCTTGTTTTAAACTAGAAATGGTTAGTACTCTTAATTCATAGACTTGTCAATAACAGTTAACATTTCAGGTCATGTTCTTCCTGCTGTCTGTAAGCAGCTGTAAACACAGATTACTTCATTACAGTCTTAATTTATTATTTCTAAAGATGCCTTGAAACATTCAGTACCAAAATGCATCTGAAACCATTAAGCAGTGCTTTTATTTCAGATATGTAAGTTGATTATATTTAAATCCAAATTGGAATGAAACAGTAGTAATGGCCTAAGACCATGTATATTCTGTTTGACAAACTTTGTATACTGTACATAATTGCATTGTACTCCTTTAAAAATAGAGCCAATAGTAGAATTTCGGGCAGGTTTAATTTTCACTGTTGTATGTAGTTCTGCAGGGATATAGGCCACTGGCATTTGTAACGCTAAAGTATTTAAAATGTGCAAGTAGGAAACTCAGCCCAATGCATGCACGGTAAACCGCAAAAAATTGGGAGTGTGAAACTGTGATGCATTTTCTTTAAATTATGACTATGAAAAGTTACCTTTGTTAATAAAAAGAGAAATTGGAAATCATTGTCCATGTTGAGTGAGAGAGCAGGTGCTGTGGTTTCCATCAGCGCCACTGTCCATTCCATAGTTAGCTGCCTGAGGAGTGCAGTAACAGTTACCAGGCCGTGAGTGTAGAGGAAATGAAAATGTAGTGAAGAGTCAGGCTCTCTGACAATAGAATCTGGCTTTATAAAACTTAAGTGAAACTGAGCTATAATCATCAAGAGGAAGTAGGACAGAAAATGGGCCAAGCGGCCTAGAGGCCCTGTGTATTTACGTCTTCAGTCTGCCCCTCCCCAACATGGTGCTGTCTGTTTTTCATGCTGTACTCTTAGAAGCAGCACTGTCTGAAGACACCGCTAGCTAGAGACTGCATGAACTTTGTGAAAGCACTGGCTCTGGTGACCCTCTGGAGTCTGGATCACACGTGTGATTTAATATTTGGCAGGCACTTCAAGTGTGGGAACTGAGCTGTGAACATGGCAGGATGTGGTTTTTTTATATTTGAGGGAGACTTTCCAACAGTCAGATGTGAAATTTGTCACTTTCTATTAACCAGTTGCTGACCTTTTGGTCATTCTTGAGAGGTTGGAGAGAAAAAGCCAGGCTGCAACTTTGTGGTCAGCACTGCATACAGGTATTGAATAATTCTGAATAATGTGAGACTCAACAAGGAGGAAGTTGTTTCCACTGTGTTCCTTGCTTAGGTATTGTCAAACCTTAGTGTGTGAAATGACAGATTCTGCATGTAATAATGTTTATTTTTAAAGTAAATTAAAATGTTGGTCAGTGGTAACCTGTATTTTACAGTGTTTTTTTTTTTTTTTTTTTTTTTTAAATGCTAACAGGACTTTGATTTGTAAAAGCGCTGTATATGCCTGCCGGGCATGGTGTCGCACGCCTGTAGGCCCAGCAGACTCGGTCAGAGACAGGATTATTTCTGTCTGTTCTAGGCCAGCCTGTGTGCCGTCTCATTTGATGAGCATCCTCTTGCCTGCATTTTACAGCAGCAGTGCTTCACGGTGCAGGCCTGCCTCCCGCCTGCCTTGTTCACTGTCCTGGGGCTGAGCACTGCAGGCCACACAGCTCCTGCACCCCACCGCTCCTCAAGTTGCTTGTGTTCACCTTTCCTTGTCTGAAATGGCTTCCTCAGAGCCACACCAGGCTGATTTTCAGAGAAAACAGCACGCTAGACTAGGTACCCCTCTCTCTGTTTTGACTTTTACATTGTGTTTTGTTTCTCTCTCTGTTGTGGGAGACATGAACAATGTCAGTCATCCTAGATAGGATACCAAACTCCAGGTCTAGTGTGGCGACCTAACCAGTGTACTGGGGCTGCTTACAGGAGCCCACAGCAACACACATGACTACTTACGTCCAGAATTTCCTGAGCAACTTGGAGCAGCTGTGCCGAAGAGAGTCCTCCCTGGCAGCTGTGCATTGCCGATCTAACCTTAGGGATGGGGTTGACACTAGACTTGCAGCTTTCTAAACTTTCTGAGTTCATGAGTTTCCTTAGCATGTGAGCCTGTCTTCTCTCTACAGTTGGGAGTGTTTGGACTGGGGGAAAGCAGCCACACAGTACTCGCATTCTGCAGTGGTCCATGGCCTTGTGTGTTGTATGAAAGCTCCAAAAGAGTTTACCTAAAACAGCGTTTGGACCTCGTGTGAACTTCATAAACGGATTTTGTAAAAGGCTGTTTTAAGTAGTGCAGAAGACAGGTATTTAGTGGCCAGGCAGCAACTACTAAGCTCAAGACAACAGCTTGAGATAGTGTCCCTGGCAGCTTGGAGTCTGCAGATGGGGTCGTTAGATGCAGGTTTCACTCTGGAAATTCACAGTTCCTCAGACTGAAGCCCAGGTGGAGCATTGCCCTCTCATAGCCCTGGTGATCCTGTTGGTACAAAGGAGAAACAGCATCTCCCAGACCCCTGGACCCCTGCCCTCAGTAGATGAGGAAGAAGCAGCCCTCCTGGGGGGAGGGGTACAGTCCCCACCCTGGGCACTGGACTAGGAAAAGGTCCCCACTCTACTCTGCCTGTGCTCATTAACAGGCCATGCTGCTTGGTCCATGTTGTAGAGAAAGTATTAGTGGGAAGTTAAATACAGAGGATGAAGTCAAACCTCTCAAGCTAGTTAGATTGAAATGACCTTTTCACATTTCTGTGAAAGAAGAATGAGTGAATTAAAGTTTTTTTCCTTTCCTTTTTTGTATATGGGTACTTGCCTGTGTGTATGTCTGTGTACCAGATGTGTATAGTGCCCACAGAAGCCAAAAGGTGGCAATGGATCCTTTGGGACTAGAATTAAAGATGGTGATGAGCTGTCATGTAGGTGCTGAGACGTGAACCCAGGTTCTCTTAAAGAACTCCTAACTGCTGAACCATCTTGCCAGCCCTGTGTGGGCTTTTTTTTTTTTTTTTTTTTTTTTCTATTCCCCCCCACCCCTTTATGGGTTCCTGCCGTGGTGCTTAGGTGGGTTCAACTACTCCTGGCAATCTCTAAGTATTTGGGCTCCAGATGCATGTAGCATTGTGCCTGGCTCTCAAATGAATTTGGATTTTAAATCATTGGGCTGAGATTGAAGGCAGGAAAGTGTAAACTAACAAGACATCACAACCTTACTCATGAATTCACAGAAGAATTTAAAGGAGTCTATTTTCAAAAAAGCTAAGATAAGAATACTTGGGAAGGGCTGGAGAGGTGGCTCAGAGGTTAAGAGCACTGGCTGTTCTTCAAAGGTCCTGAGTTCAATTCCCAGCACCCACATGGTGGCTCACAACCATCTATAATGAGATCTGGTGCCCTCTTCTGATGTGTAGGCACACATGCAGGCAGAGTACTGTATAAATAAATCTTTTAAAAAAAAAAAAAAAAAAGAATACTTGGGAAACTTGGCCAAAAGCACCCTTTGAGGTAGTCACATGCAGAACGGGGTGGAAAACAAAACGTTCCTGGGAAGGATCCTGAAAAGGAGGCGGTGGTTCCCAGGAAGGTGGTTTGTGGATGGACCTTACACCATAAAAAGTCTTGCTGCTGGTGAGGTTAAGCAGTGTCCACCATCAAAAGTTCCCCTGCAGGGCAGACAACGCCTCCCAAGATTCCCAGACAACTTGGGGAAGGTTGTGCTGTCTGTGTCTGCCTGCCTGCATGGCAGCCGTATAGATTAAGGTTTGTTTCCTGTAGGCCTGCCCTTCTTCCTTAGAAACAGGAACCAGAAAGAGGACGGGCCTTAGAGCTGACTTAGTCCCTGCTCACATGAAGGCGGCTGGGCGAGGGCACCCAAGATGATCTTAGCTTCTGGCAGCTCAGTTGGGAACTTGCTTTGGCCTCTTACAGACTCGATGTTGATGAAGCATGTGTTGGATATGTCTTATATGATGGAAGGACTCAGTGGACATCTTGACCCTTACTGTTGGCTTGTGCTAGGTCCTGCTGATGTGGGGGTGGAGTGCTCAGTGGGAAAGACCATTCTTGGCTCAGTGGTTCTTGACTCAAAAGACCTAGGGTGCCAGACATAGTCACCAAAGATGGCCCTGCATCAATGGCTCGAAGTCCATTATCTCATGCTGCTGAGTAAAACATGGACACTTGTGGGCATATACAAAATGGAGGCAAGCCTTACTAAGAATTACAGGAAAAATTAAAAAGTGAGAACATCCCCCCCCCCAAAGAGGGAGGGGTTTTCAAGAGGAAAAAGCCATTAACTTCCTTGTCTGAGGCTTTTCGTAGGACCATGGCAGAAACTGGACAAAAGGTGAGGTTGTTACTGTGAGAATGGTTTACTCTCTGGGCCATTATATACCAAGCGAGTGAAGATCCCACGTGCTCCATGCATGTCCCTCTGTCCATCTCTGCCTTGTGCTGTGTTAACTGCTGATCTCAACTGTCAGCTACCGTAAGCCTTTGCAAGCTTTGCCACCATCCACTTGGGAGGCGTCTTTCTGGCCATTAAGACCATTCTCCTTGGGCTGGAGAGATGGCTCAGAGGTTGAGAGCACTGACTTTTCTTCCAGAGGTCATAAGTTCAATTCCCAGCAACCACATGGTGGCTTATAACCATCTATAATGAAATCTATGTACTCTTCTGGCCTGCAGGCATACATGCAGGCAGAATACTATATGAATAATAAATGAATCTTAAAAAAAAAAAAAAAAGACTATTCTTGTTTCTCACGTCTTCGTGACCAGCCTGTAGCTTTACTGTCCCAGCATCAGGATGGAGCTGCAGTCTTCCTTCCCCAGCCTGCCTGCCGTCACTGGCACAGAGCTCTGCCCTCAGCTGTTTAGCTTGGTTATCTTCTACCTGGCTACAAGCAACCATATCCAGCTTCCTTGGTGCTCTTGCCATTTTAACCCCCCAATCTTCCTCTAACCCAGTCTCTGTTCTCACTGCAATACATGTCAGCAACTTGCAGTTTCATTGTGGCCCATTTTCCTTTGCCACCTACAGCTCCTGCTTACTCTGTGCTTCCTAAAACCAAATAGCTCTGATGCAGGTCACTGGCGAGTAATACCTTCTTTCTCTTTTCCTTCTCCCCTATGTGGTCTGAAGCTTTAGTCTTTGTGACCTACGCTCAGAGCTCCGATAGGACAGTCTCCTGCCACTGCATCCAGCTGCACTGGTTCCTGGACCATGCGTGCTGTTGAGGTACTTTGGCATTGCCTGGGCTGGCTACACTGCTGTATTCTACCTGCAGAACCCCTCGCATCTCATGTATACCTTGGCGTTGCCAGTCTTCCCCCACTTCAAGACTCAGTTGAAATGGTTTCCTGGCACAGAGCATGCCAAATTTTAGTGGCCCCCAGGCATGCTCTGTGATACATAGAGCCATGTCACCTAAGCATGAACCCTCCCCGGATGGTGCCCATCCAGCCACCTATATTTTCAGGTTGAAGACAGTCATCAACCTCCATTGGAAGTGTTCTGTGAGCCCTGAAGACCTACTATTCCTGCCTACTCCCATTCCCTTCAGGCCTTGGCCATATATCCTGTGCCTAAAACTCAGCGTCCTGGCTAGCTCCTTATGAGATGAAGAGATAGAGAAAACATGGTTGCAGACAACGCTGCCTGCCACACTGAAGAAGCTCGGCTGAGAGACGATGGCAGGCTGTGTGAGGACGGGCAGGAAAAAAGCAAACATCTACCAGAAAGATGCTCTTGGATTATGTGATCTATGGCCGACAGCGCTCCTTGGATCCCATGGAATAAATAGAGGGCCACTTCAAGGAGAAATGCCCTAATAAGGAGCACGGGTGTCAGCAGAGAGGCAGGAAATGGAGTAACAGTCAGCGTGAGTAAACACTACAGCCCCTGTGCATGAGCCATTGATGGCAAGTCATTTAGTCCCAGCAGTCAGTTTCCCATCTGTCAGGAACAGTTTTTAAAACCCAGGGGTCACAGTGTAGACCCGGCTGGCCTCAAATTTATGGCCCATAAGTAAATGCTGGGATTACAGGCTTTTGCCACCCTGCCTGGCTAATTACTTTGTTTTAAAGTCCATCTTGTCTGGTGACAGTGCAGCCATGCTTGTCCTGGTGCCTGTTGGCATATGGTAGTATTTCCTTTCAACCTACTCATGTCTGAATTTTAGGCTGCCTCCTGTAGGTGCCATGTAGGGTTGGTTTGTTAAGTATTTTAGATGGAATGTTCATAGTTGAATTTATGTGTATAACTTCAATGTTTTTTAACCATGGCTTAGATCTTGTTGTTATTCCGTACTGTCTTTAATTTGCATTTGCCAAATATTTTCTTCCCAATGTAACTCCGTAAACATTTATTTTCTTTCTCTTTT